GGTGTCATAATGCGACAAGTAAACACACAAGTACCACGTAAAAATCACTAATGTTAGCGTCTCGTACGTGTACAGCCACATGTACAGTCATTAAGCTTCATAGCTTCCAGCCGTCAAAGTTCCACTGCGCTGCGCATACGAATGAAGTGTGGTATCCAGACACAAGGGTATTTTACAGTTAATTTGTGTCCACATTTTCCCTTGTGTGGGAGGGTGACCTGCTAAATGTACAGCATGCTTAATACATGCAAGTTTTTACATATACGTAACGATGCAAAAAATCAGTGTATACCGCTAAGGTTTACCACTTTTTATAAACTTTTGCGAAAAGAAAAAAAAAATCAAAAGTAAATTTGCTGACTGCTATTCTTGGCCATGAGAAACGGACACTTCTATTTCAAGAAAAGACATTGTCTATGACAACAACGACTTTGACATAATTTATAGCTTCATTTTTTTCATTTATCGGCACTTTCGATATATCGATTTCAATGTTAAAGTGATATTGTTCATATTGATATCAAAGCAAAATCAATATATCAGATATTATCAATATATCGACGAACCTTAAGTATAAATATTGTAATGTGGATGTTAACCTGTACTTACATTGCTAAAACTCTGGTGTTATTTGATGTCCAATATTGTTCATGTAGGTTCAATTATATTGATGAACATGTATTGTGGTACCATTAGGAACACCAACTATTGCTCACATTTCTACAACTCTAATTATTTGATGTCAAGAGTGATATGTCTAATATTGTGACATGTAAATCTTTCAGTTACATGTATTTGATGTATGGAGCAGTGAAGTAAGACATGAGTAGCCATGGTGTTGAGTCCTACACATTTATTACACACTAACTTGCAGGCAAAGGTTGAGTGACATCCAAAAATTATGCCTTGGCAACTGACAGAAGATGGCATATATTCACTTCAGCTTTTTATTTGAAAACAAATTTACCTCTCCCTTACCCAGGACATGAAACGATCTCCCTCCAATGGCATATGCTCCCTCTACGAACATCATCAACGAAACTACATATTGTATACATGTATTTGGCATTAATGCAACGTAGGATACATACAGGTTTTTGAGATAAATGTAAATAACTTCCCACACAACAGGGCACAAAGAATCCTTGATGGCGTGCGAACTCAACTGGCAAAAACATGTTCAGTGTATATTTGACAAGAAAAGAATATTGCAGTTTGTTGGATGTCTTAAAAATTGCTTGTTAGAGACCTGGTATCTAAAATTCACTTTGTGCATGTACAAGTGGCTAGTGGCTCAATGTTATAATTGTTATTAAATTAAAACAAGTGCTGTTATAATTCTGTCACGAGAGAAAGAAATAAATGTAGAAAGAACATGAACATTCAGATAGCTAACTGTTGTCATAATCCATTGTGGCTGCTGTTAGCCAACTCTATGGATACCCAATCACTAGTCGGCAGACATACATTGTATGCATTCAATCACCATGATCGTGCTAGTCATTTACTCCATTTGTTCATTCAACTATCTGTTGACAAACAATGATTTATACTAATCCCGCGACCAAAACTGGAAGCAATTACTACAGTTGCTTGCTTCACACTCACATGCAGGTGGTCTGTGCATAAATTAAAGTCCTCTTTGGCCAAAGAGTGCTGTTAATTTCAAGAATTGTCAAGAATGAGAACATGTGCATGAGCGTAGTGCCACCTTAGTAATGGTGTCTCCTCAGATCAGTTTTGCAAGTCCAACACAAAGCAACAGTATCAATTTGGCCAGACCTTTGACTCTGGAGAGGAAGAAAATGCCTTTCTTTGCTCAGCCTCCCTAAAGGGAAACATGTAGTGTGCATTTAGCTCAACTTGTTTTCATACAAATTGGCACTATTTGTTAGAGCAATACTACTTTTTACTGGAAGTTAAAAGGTGGTAGTGTTTCCGTTTGAGAGAATATTTCTTAAATACTTTAAAGCGCATGCTATTTTTTTCTTTTTGTTACACAAACTCAGCCCTTTATCGGGTACCCAGGTACCTGCCCATTGATAACAAAACCCGGTTCCAATTTTTCAGGCTGGGTATCCTTAAAAAAGAAAAAAAACATGTAAATAAATTAGTAACAAAAATCCATGAATAAAATGTCTCAATTTAACACTGAAGGGCAGACTTGCTGAAAAATAACTGTGCCACTGAAAACCCGGTCCCGCAGTCACATGTGAAAGTGCAGTTTGGAGATCGACAGCTACTTTTGTTACTCAACTCCGCCAGTTCTATTCCAGTTATTTTCCTAGATTCCAGATTTTTACTAGAACCAGATCGCTTGAATTTCAAACTTACATCTTTTGTGTTGTTCTTCAGTTCTACACTCTGAGACAAGTTCTGTTTGAAAGGTGAAATGTAAGCTTCTTGTACAAATTTGCTTTCAGAAAATTTGTAGAAGAGATTTTTTAGCCAGCTTTCCAATTCAGAGTGAAAAAATTTACAGTGCGAAAGGTTACTTACTGCGTGTGATTTCAAATACTTTTTATATTGAACAGTCACACTAACACTCCTCGGTCCTCCAACAGGTGAAGGATTGAGGAGTGTTAGGGTTAATCAAAATGACTTATGGAATTTCCGTTTCTTAAAACTTGACCCAAAACTAAAAGCTTTTCCCCCTAAGTTTTGATCACGCAGCATTAAGTGCATGCAAATTCATTGCAAGCTCAACTACATGGGCGTAGCAGAAATGTATATGATGTAATGGGTTCGTCAACTGTGTGGCACGGGGCAATGTACTATTGATAGTTTGCTGTACAGCTGAAAAGTGGAGTCAAAAGTCATGCAATTTCTACTGTTGAATTCATTGGAATTCTTATTTTGAACTAATTTTCTCAAAATTAAGAATTCCTCATAAGAAAAGCAACTTTTTACACTAATTCTGGCTAAACAATGGATTTTCGCGTGGTTACTTTTTATTTGCAAGTTTCTGTCACGATCCGAAACCCATCCAGCTAGGAAAGGTGTTGTCGTCCCTTCATCAATCCTGTGAGTCCACATTTAAAACCTTAGATTTTGAAAATAATTTTGAGGTGTCTCCACAATACAAAGTCGACTACTGACCATATCTCTCTGAAATTTGAGGATTTTGTAGAGCTCTACAATCTTACTGAATAATTTTCGTGATTCAGAACTAGGAAAATGACTGTACCAAACCTGTGAACAAGAGGCCGAAGGAATTTAGTCTTCTGATGAGGTGGCCGCACTGTTGATGTACACTTGCATGGCTGTATGTAACTTACCAACCCTGTCGGCCTAAACAAATTTTGTGCTGAAGTGCAAGTATTTACTGTTTGAGTTAAGAAAGAGTATTTTTGTTAAATAAAACAGTATCAATGAAAATTACTTTATGTCAGGATTGACGACGGAGCAAGAGCGGACTGCGCAATATAGGAGTGAAACAGACTCCACACGAGCCGTAAGTAGCGATCATGCACAAAATGTGCAGTTGATCAGCCTGTTATTATTAGATGGTAACCAAAGCACTGAATGTGCTAAATAAACCCAAAGAGTCTGAGAACCAGTTAGTTTTTGATACCAAGAAATATGCCATTGTCGTTCTCACTTTTAGTTTCAAAGTTACTTTTAAATTAAAGCGAAAAATTTCATCAGCGATTCAGCGGAACTGTGAATGACAAATCAAACAAAAAAGCGGGAAGGAAGGTTTGTGCATGCGCAAAAGCATTTCAAATCTAAGTGTTTCTTTCATTTGAAAAAAAAGGGAAATGTTGACAGGTCATAATATTGTCGGCCAGTCAAACGTCACTTGTCGAAGTACTTACACAGTAACATCTCGATAACTCGAACCTCAGGGGATGGAGTTATCCTAAAAATTTCTTTATTAAAATAAACCACTTCATCGTAGTACATTTTTGTGGCAAAACTTTCGCATCGCTTATTTTTGTTTACAGCATTAAGTGCTGCACAAAGTCCTATTTTTCACTTGAGTCTCCCTATGCGTGGTCACATGACCTTTCCGTCTGCAGTCACATGGCCGCTGTAGTGTCAGCAATAGGACTGCCTGATGTGGGGGACTACAATTGGGCCCACGGTAGCAATCAGGCTAGCTTCAGCAGCTTGAAAGCCACGATTTGTTGCAGTTTCAGGTAACATTGGTTTATGCATGTGCATACAACTGGTCCCAGTAAGAAAAGAAATGCACTTGGCAATGATGACTCTTAACCCTAGACTTCAAATACTTTCAACGCCGTTTGAAGCTCGTTTGTGTCATTTTTTTTAGCAGAAACTTCAAAATAAGTGGGTATAGTGATGTGGGTACTGTTCAAGTTACCGAGGTACTTTTGTACATAAGAGCCTTTTAACCCGTGACATACGTAGCACTGATCTGGTCCGCATGTGACACCATCAGAGCTCACCATTTGTGTACATACATTCCGTGTGTGCGTGGTCGTGCACTATCCGGGACATTTCCTTTGATCGGTAGCTGGTGCATAGGTGGTTTACAGCTCTGTTTTTATGTTCCTCGTCAAAAACTTTTTTTTCTGTTTCATATACTTACAAAAAGAAGATTTTGCAAATGAAGGTAACAATTTCGTTTGATAAAAAGGTAGGAGAGATTAACTCCAACGTTTAGAGCGATGAGAAATCACCTTGAAAGGTAACCCCAAAACGCATTGGTCAGTGAACTGTCCCTCTGCATCTAATTACATGTACGTGATACAATGTAACACATTATGAATGTAGCTGTACAATAGGTAGAACTGGCAGCATTGATATGGGGAGAGGCTTGGAAGTTGTTGGGAGGAGAGGGTTTGTACACGTTTATCATTTCATTCTAGTGAAAGATTATCCGGAAAATGTTTAAACATACATTATTCAAAGATTTTCACATAAAAGCTGAACACTGAACCATATATGGCAACTTGATATTCAGCATAACACAAGAGGGCCCCCACCACAAATCTTTGTACGTGGTGAATGCATCATTCTACTCTTGTTCTTACCTTGGCATACTGCTGTGCTGCAGGAGGAAGATGTTTATAGTCTTTGGGGCTGCATCTAGCAACATGTCGGGCATACTTCATGAATTCTTGCTGCTCCTGATGGACCAAGATCTGCAATTTCTGTCATTGAAATTGTGTAATGAGCGCAATTTTTAAAACATACGTGTCTGTTTTCATGCAAGGCTTGTGAAAAAACACAAGCCTTGGGGGGCAAATACAGTGTTATCATACACGTTAGACAGGGCAAAAATCCCAAATTAATTAACATCTCCCCAGCACAAATCCATCCTTAGAAATAGGTACTGATGAAATCAATCATACAACAAACCCAAGTTTAGGACTGATTTTAGAACTGGAACAAATCTCAAATTCCAAAGACTTATGAGGGATAGTGAGTTTGACATCACCACTAAGAGTCTACAATGTGGCCCTATGGGTTACCCGCTCTGCGAGACCAAGACCTGAAGACAGAGCATGCTTTTACAAAACCAATCATGGTCCTTTGGCGGGAACTCAAGATGTTTGCACACAGGTTCTTGTGTGTTTGGTGCGGGACTCACTGAGCACATGCCTCCAAAAGCTGTTTGCATGTACAGTCTTCGTGTGTTAGAATTGAGAGCACAGGGGTTAGACTGGAAGAAAATAAAATATCCACGATATGATCACCAGAGGTTTCGAGGGCCCCACGTACTGAAGTGCAGGGTCTATGGTATACTTGTGTATGCCTCACGACGTCCCTGAAATAAATAATTTCTGGTGCTGTGTATCACGTTTAGTATGTAAAAACATCTTTATGGTAAACCCAGGACTAACCAGGTTATTTAACAGATCCTGAAATCAGGAAAATCATGATGAAAAATCCTAAGATCAGAAAAAAATTGTGACAAATCTCACCCCTGAGGAGCATTCACAATCTGGTTAGACAACTTTCCACCAGCTTCTTTCCTCTTTGCCAACAAGGTTGCATTTCAACTCGGACTGATAACAGTGGCTTTCTTGTACGTGATTCTTGAAAAAGTGTTTATAATGTGCATTATTTTCTGCTACACTACGCACAACTTTTAAGTGCTGTTTAGCAGAGCTAGGTAACTGGTCCCAGGTCGTTAGACCCCTTACCCTGAGCTGTTGTTTCTCAGCGATGTCGCCTGGGGTTGTGGCATACCTTGTCTGGTTAGGATGACGCTGTCCATGCTTCTGCCACAGTTCAATGTATCTCTGTTGTTGAGCGTGGGTCATACAGGAGTACCTACCAGAGAATTTGGATTACTGGCCAGTGAGTGTTGAGAAGTGCATAGAAAAGTTATAAAACTGCAGCACCGACCATGCAGTGTACTGAACGAGCTTCCCAAATTTGGCCTCAGGGAGTTGGTCCATTGGGTCTGCTAGAGACTTCTTACAATTGTATACAGATACTGACATCTTTGGAATTCAAGGGTGTATCAAGAGCTGAATTTAAAGGGAGGCCAAAACATTTGGGGGAGGAATAGAAACCTTTTGTGAATTCTTTATGTAGCCTTTCTGGCCTTTCTGAAGAGTAAGACTACATCTATGAGCTTTGTACGTTTATGGAAGGGATGTGAAATAGTTCCAAAAAGTCACAGTTCAGATCACTCGGTATTTGGAAAAAAAAATTGCTTTTGGGAAGGATATCCCTTACCCCACCCAATCTATTGATTCCACATTCCACAAGCATTCCGCAATCCACAAGATTAATTATAGTACCCTGCAACTCCAACTTTATCAGGCCTGCTTTTTTCTTACCTTGGATAGGGGAAGTGATTTTTAGGACTCTTCAAATTCCAGACAATTGTGGGTGTCTTCTCACCAACCCCTGGAGTGACATTTTTCTTGGGCGCATTAGACAATGGAGCTTTCTTTTCTTGCTGTACTGTTGCACCCTGCTTGCTGGCCTCAGCATTTTTCACCTGTGCTTGTCTACTAGAATGGTAAGAAGAAAAAACTAATATAACACATTTCATTGCCAGAACTCAATCAGTCAAGCCAAGCGTTATGAGAAGATACTGAATTTAGTGACAGGTCAAATCATGACTCGATCGACTCAGGTCACTAGTGAAGTGATTTGAGTTAAAGATCAAGATAGTCTGGTCAAGTCACAGTGTGTGGTCAACACGAATCAAGTTGGGGGTCAAGCCATTTTAAGTAATTGCAATTACTTAAAATGACAATTTGAACACCGCCTTGGTGACCAATGTAGTATTCAAAGGACTTCTGACTGGACGTATGATAGACTCAACATGTACATTACAATACTACTGTACTAGTACGTGTATCATTTGATTACCCACAGATCATCAATACCTTGTCTTCACTGGGGATATGGTGCACCCTTCAATGGATGGATTGTAGGCCTTGAACAGGTTGACATCAAACTTAGGTCGGAGGGAGAATCTTTCATAATCCTCCTCAGTGAAGAACACTTCACTTACATCCACAGCCATTGGTCAATATCTGATGCATGCGAAAGCCATCTACAGTAAAGATGAACACTGTTATGTTCACAAACGGCAATGGGTTGTAATCATCGTCTAAAAACTTGACAGATTTTCAACGCAAAACGATGTTACATACATTGTAAGCCAATGACATGCATCCCAAAACAACTTCACAAAGGCAACACACTACGTGTTAGTACAGTTGTTGGTCGGTTGTTGCTATAATGTTGAAAATGATGACATGTAATTATGTCAGATTCATGTTCCTGGAAACAGAGCTCTTATCTTACATTGCTTTCTGTATTGTCTCTTCTGTCTGCACCACAAGAGATCAGTATGTTTAGTAATGATACCTGGCAAGAGACAATCATCAGCAATATTGAAATACATGTAAATGTTTGACATCAGCGACAGACCTGCACCATCAATCCCAGTTCGCTATCTGCTCCCCCCTTCCACCATCAGTGTAAAGAGGGCAAGCAGTGATGTAACTAGGGCTAACATATTAAGCAAGCTAATAAATGTCAGGGTGGCACATGGGATGCATGCATTTTTCAAGGTGGCACCACAATAAGCTGCAGCTGAACAGCTGTATGAACTCAACAGAGAGTATTCATAAATTTCAAATTGGGGAGCGGGACCCAGGGGCACGGCCACTCCCCCATAGTTACTGCCGCTACGCCACTTACACTGTCCTTATAGGGCAAGGGCAAAACAACAGCACACATGCTTGCACATGTCATACTAATGGTACAAATTGGCATACGGGTTGGTCTGTGTAAGAGTTGGTCAGTGTTCGAGTTGGTCAACGTACAATTTAGTGTGTACAAATTGGCATGCGTATGTACATTTTGACCTGCATTCACCAGAAACCGGAGACACTGTTTTTGGCTTAATGTCATGCTGGCTTCTCCTTTATCACGTTTATGGGTTTCACATTCTTGTAAAAAACCCTGGTTGCAAGAATATTTTTATTTTACTGGAAGATCGGAAATCAACGAATTTCCACTGCTTAAAAAGGCTAATGAAGGCCACATGACATGACCTAGGCTACTCATGTTTGAAATCTACGGTGGCTGATCTCTGCCACGAATACACTTTTACACCATAATTTAAGGCGTAATAATGCCCTATTAGACCTACCAGCCAGGCTTTATATCCATGTTATTACTGAGCTCAGGACTACCTGAAGACAAAGGGGCTTTTATCACATATACCTTGCAAGATTTGGACCGTCCAAGGATGGCCACAGTAACTGCAAATCTATGCACATAAGCGGAGCCACGTGTTATTGCTAGGATGCCATAGAGCATTATTACGTCGTAATGGGGCATTATAATGCGATAATAGGGCATTATTACGCCTTAATAGGGCATTATTACACTGTAATAGGGCATTATTATGCCGTAAAAGGGCATTTATTACGACTGAAATTAGGGCGTTAAGGGCATTGTTATGCTCTAAATTAGGGCGTTATTTCCATTTCCATCACTGACAAGAGCTCACTGGCGCGGCATTCAGTTTACGACTTTGAACAATAAGCAGAAGCAAGCTGAGAAAGGAAACAGTTTACAGTCACTTCGCCCCATTTCCACTTCACTTCACACCATTTCCACTTCGCCCCAATCCCCACTTCGCCCCATTTCCACTTTGTCGTCTGTGCTCGTGCTCGAGAGTGTTGCAAGCCTCTTCAAAAAATGTTCCACAATTGACATGTAGTTTTAAAAAACTCTACAGCATTAAATTAATGTTGATAGCGTTGTCCATTATGGTGAATTAATACATAAATATGGTTGGACTAGCATTGGGGATATTTCTCATCACGTACATGTACATGTATGGTCACCGTGGCACGAAACATATGCGACAACCAGCAATGGCGTTTGTACATGAATGGACTATACAGACTGGTTGTTACACTCCGTCGATCACACATTCTCTATTCTCTTCTCTTCGCTCACGTTTTTTACAACAGCCACAATGAAACACCAACTTGACGAAGAAAACCTTTTTCTTCAAACTTGCCAATAACAATTTTAGGGTCTCGCCGAAAAATCTGAGTTCGGCAGTCGGAAAAAATCAAAAGCATTCCTTTAGCCTATGAAAGTTGGATTCTCCTATCGTTAAATTTGGGTACTCGAAATTATTACGAAATACAAGATGGCCGGTTATTACGCAATACAAGATGGGTCTTCACACCCTCGAGGTGAGACATCATCCTTACCTAGGTGTTGAACTTAGCAGTGATTTGAAATGGTCAACACATATCAATCAGACTGTTGCCAAGGCTATAAATAAAATGCTGGGTTTGTTGAAGAGGAATTTATACTACTGCAACAAAAGCACCAAGTTTTTAGTCTACAAATCGCTGATCAGACCCAAACTTGATTACTGCTCTGGGATTTGGAATCCACAGCACTATTCGGATGGGATAAATTAGAAAGAATTCAGAAGAGAGCTGCCCGATTTGCTGTAGGAGATTACAGCAGGGAATCCAATATTAGCAAAATCCTTGCCGACTTATTTAAGAGTGGGAATCACTCCACGACCGAAGGACTAAATTGTGCTTAACGACCATCTATAAAGACTCAAAGAGATCATGGGTTCCCTAATTCCAAACAGCATCGAAAATTTCCTTCAGTCATCAAATTCATCCAGTTAACCAAATACCAGGCAGTCAGGGGCCTTCAAATATATCATCCCAGCAAAGACTGTTAAAGGCACTCGCTGTATCCACAGTCTATTCGTGAATGGAACCACCTCGACCAAGACCTACGCATCCCCCCGACGTCAAGACTTGTAAAGCCAAATTAGAAGCCACCAACATCAAGACGCTGACATCAAAGGCTCACTTCAATAATCACGACTTTGCACATGACCCCCCCCCCCAAACGTATGCGACAACCAGCAATGGCGTTTGGACAGATACAGATAGGCCTCTGTTACTGAAGAACAGAATGAACGATAATCAATGCGACCATAGACCTGAAGGACAGTACATGCCACCTACAGAACTAGAAGTAGGGTGGCCCTGGCCGGTCCTGTATGCAAGTACAAGTACAGTACGTGTAAGAGGTTTCCCGGGCTTTTTACACGCATGACATCCCCCCCTCTTAGGACTTGCGCGCGATTGCACGCACGCCATATGCCCGCGTGCTAATTGCATGCCCGCGTGATGCGAATGAAGAAAAAATAGTCGGGTTCCAAACATACCAGCTGTACTTATCCCACATATTGAGTAATGCAAACGCATTTTAACGTCTGGGAATAGTACTTGGAAAGCGGGGTTTCAACCTCGTGTCGACCTGTGAATTACCCTTTCTTATCATGCTGACTGAGTATCTTGTGTCACATACTCTGTAACGAGGTTAAAGGTAGGTTTCGTCATGCATCGTATCATGTACACTTCAGACGTTTTGCATGTCTGGGAAGCAGTAGGCCTACAATGTGAAGCTTCGCTCTTCAGTGAAACGGCGTTTTCTTCCTATATCAGGCGACTTTCTAAAAACTTGATTCAAAGAAGGCAACTTTTATTTCAACTGTCAGTATTTCTGACGCCTGGTTACTGTTAGCAAAGGAAGATGAGTGACAAAGAGGAAAGAAAGCGGGTAGGTCTTTCTTTAACATGCATGCACACCCGGTTTCACTACCCCGGACATGCCAGAACTGTGGGGTCCGATCCGACCTAGCCCCACAAGTGTGGCACGGAGTCTCACTCCCGCTTCATCCTTAGCCACACAATCCTTATGTACACGCAATTTCGTGTCGGCATACTGAAAATTTTCGGCGCACCTACTTATCGTGGGCGCAATTTCTTTTGCACACAGAGATGATCCTTAGCCTCTCTGCTTTCTGAGCGCCATTTTATTGAATGATTTCACTCACGTTGTTTTGGTATTTTCCAGTCTTTTTGCTTTCACCCATTCAATCTCACGGGCTCGCTCTCACAGTCGCCATCTTTAAAATAAGGTCGTTGAACATTGCATCACTTGACCCCTCTTCGTCTCTACAGCTGTTCCATGTCAAGACATCTAAACTCCTGCCAAAGATTTGGAAGAGCCATTGCATTGGTACATGACTACATGTAGTATCTTACCGCTTAGTCCGTGTATTAGATATGTTTCAAACTATTCACTTTCCCCAGTGAAAAAGATTAACATAAATTTACATTCCACTAAAATATGTTCAACTACGTCCTTTACAACTGAACTAGATTGTAAACCAGATATCGCTTGTAATTAGAACTAGAAATAGTGGGCCAGTCATGAATAAAACAAAAAGAAGGCAAAATCAAGCCATTGACATGTGAGAAAATTGAGTCTAATTCGTCTAATGTATCGTATATACAAACCTAGCCCCACTAGTGTGGCACGGACTCTCACTCCCGATCCATCCTTAGCCACACATCCATATACGCAATTTCGTGTCGACGTATTGAACATTCCGGCACACCCACTTATCATCGTGGGCGCAATTTCTTTTGCACACGAACATGATCCTTGACCTTTCCGCTTTCTAAAAACCATTTATTGAATGATTTCACTCACGGA